GAGATATGAAATGATGTTATTAAGATAGCAGAATAAAGCATTGGAGCATTATATAAACATACATTATTTCTCTATTTAACAAGTGAATAATTATAAACAGATTCATTTTTGAAATCTGCCAATTACGTACTGGTGCTGTAAAGATTCAGATGAGTCTGAAACAATTCCACATGAAACAGTGTCACCTAGTAATAAGATATCTGTGTAACTGAGTTTTACTATTGTATATAATTGTTGAACAGATTCAGCTGTTAAAATGAAAGGCTGAGAGCTAACTGACTCACCCACTCAACATTGTTTTATTTGGTGAGAGGTTGGCCAGCTAAGAAGCCTGTTGAGAAGAAACACGTAGATTTCCTGTTCTTACAGGAACCTGGAGTGCTGCTATATAAAGCAATCACGTGGAGATTAGGTATGATGAAATTAATATACAATCATCACATTACCAATTGAAAAGGAGAGAAAAGAAGACTTTTTAAACAATCAGTTCTACAACAACAACTTGGATTTATATAGCGCCCTTCCACGCCGGACAGCATCTCAGAGCGCTTCACAATAACGGATCGCGGGGCTGAGCCAGGGGGAGGGGGAGGAAGGAGACCAAAGGCGCGGTCGAACAAAAAGGTCTTCAGCAGAGACCTGAAAATAGGGAGAGGGGGCAAGGCGAAGGGGGTGAGGAAGGGAGTTCCAGAGCCTCGCAGCATAGTGGCTGAAGGCACGGCCGCTGAGGGTGGAGCAGAAGACTCGGGGGACAAGGAGGAGGCCAGACTCGGAGGAATTAAGGCAACGGGCACTTCTTTGAGGAGAGATGAGGTCAGAGAGGTAGGGGGGGTGCAGAGGTGTGGAAGGATTTGAAGACAAGGGTGAGGATCTTGAAGTTGATCCTCTCTGGGACAGGCAGCCAGTGCAGTCTGGCGAGGACTGGGGTGATCGGGGAGCAGAGTTTAGTGCGGGTGAGAATGCAGGCGGCAGAGTTTTGAATAATCTGGATTTTTTGGATGATAGTGGAGGGGAGGCCAGCGAGGAGAGCATTTGAATAGCCCAACCGAGAGGTGACAAAGGCACGAACTAGGATTTCAGCGGCTTTCAGAGCAAGGTATCGGCGGAGTCGGACGATGCGTGGGAGGTGGAAGAAAGCAGTGCTGGTAAGGGACCGAATGTGGGGGAGGAAGGATAATTAGGGGTTGAACCTGACGCCTAGTTTGCGTACAGGTTCGGAGAGTTTTAGGGGGAGGTCGGGTAGGTGGAGGAGGTGAGAACCATGAGATTTTAGACGTTGACGAGAGCCAAAGAGTATGGCATCCATCTTGTCAACGTTCAGCTGAAGGAAATTTGCACTCATCCAGCTCCTGAAGTCTGTCAGGCAGGCTGACAGAACATCAGGGGACTGGGGAGGTCGCAAAGTGAGGTGAAATGAGATGACAATGCAGAAAGCTTTGAAAAAAAGAATCAAACTTCATAGCAGTACCATTTAATATTCCTTCACTCTGCCAACCCTCGTGAAGCTAAATTGATCTGAATAAGGAAAATGTGATGCAGAAATTACAGAAAACTGAAGAAACATCATTCACATCCATCATTTAGTGATGTTTGTTTGCAGCTCACTTATAAATCAGATAAATCAATAACAATAAACTAATTTAGTTGGTTAATACGAAATGTTTCTTAACCTGAAATACCTTTATGGTTTAACAACTAGGATTAATTGATTCCTAAAACAGAAAGCATCTGTAAACATATGGGCATTAATCATAACTATTATTAGTTTGTAAAGATCAACTACAAATCAATTAAAGCTTACAGAATATAAAAATTGCATTTTACTTTGATTTCAATAAATACAAAAAAATTGCTAAAAAGTAAACTCAAAAGAGCTTTGCGCCCAAAAAATCGAATTTTGCTGGCAACTGAAAGGTTAGTAATAAATAATAATAATAATTTGTTTATTATTAAATTTGATACAGCACCTTATCACATCTTCCAGATGTCTCAAAGCGCTTTACAGAATATGTAAAGTGAATTGACTGTATATTTTGTGGGTGAAACACAGCACCCAATTGCACACAGTGTCCCACAAACAGTTGTGAATTAAGTGACCACATTATTATTATTATTATTTATTTTTGAAGGGATTATTACCCCCAGTAAAGCAATCCACCAATTGACTAACAACCGTGTTCCTACTTACTGCTAGGTAAATAGAGATGTGTGGAGTAAGGAAACTTGCCCAACATTTTGCCCTGCCGGGAATTGAACCGAGGTCCTCTCGCTTACGAGGCACGTGCACTGACCACTGAACTACAGACCTGCGTGTTCTGAAACTTACTTGCCAACAACCATATTTGATTTTTAGAAAAACTTCTGTGGTGTACAATATACCTTGTCGGTGTCACTACCCTAAAGAGCAGAAGATCAGATAGGATTAGCAAAAGTTAGGAATATTTGAACCACATCTACTAGTAATATTTTATTTTTCACAAGACAGTGAATTCATTACTTTGCTGTAGATTTAGATAATCTACATCTTGGCCAATGCCTGACGTTATTATTAGGTTATTATGTATAACAAAGCAGGCACCTCTCTGCCTTTGCGACCTGCTTTCTCCCACTCCACAACCCGCTGCTTTCGCTCGGCTGGCTCTGGCCTCTTGCTTCTCCCTCGTCCCCTCCGCTCCATCATCGGCAGCAATGCTTTCAGCCACTACACCCCAAAGCTTTGGAACTCTCTCCCCCGATCCCTCTTTTAGATCACGACTGAAGACCTTCCTCTTCGACCGTGCTGATGGTCACCTCCTCCCTACCCTTGGCTCGGCGTCAGGCTGTTAAGCGCTCCAAGACGCTGCCTGGCATTAAGTGCGCTACATAAATGCAAGTTTTTTTTTAATGCTGATCAAAACGTCTGTGAATAACTTGCGCGCTCTGTACTGAAGATTGGTGCTGAAAGTCAAAATACTACGATAACTCAGACACACAACATTTTCGCAGAGAAGTAGCGGTTCCAATTATTGAATCGACAGTTATATAATGGAACCTGATCTGCACCACCTTAGATCGATAGCAGCAAGAAATCTTTACCCAATGAAGCCATCTCCCCATACGCATTGGTTGAGACTAACCTCGCGAATAGACAACGACTGGTGTTCAGTTAATGAGAGAAGTGTGTACCACATTCATAGTTAAGGATCCTTATTGATAACTCCTCGGGGTGCCTAAGCACCCAATTTCCTTTCAGTCCAATATGCAACCACAGTCAATGTTGATCGCATTTGCTCTGCACCGAAACAATTGGGAGTGAGAGATTTGCCACATTTGCTATAACAGGTACTTAATATTATTATTATTATTATTAACACGAATTTACTGTGCATTTGATCCAGAGATAATTCTGCCTATAAGGCTAATGACTAACGTAGACATATTGAAGTTGGTCAATGGGAGTACAGATTCATAATATACCTTTTGGGAGGATCTAAAGTCAGCAAAAGGTATAGAGTGGGGAAATCATCGGGTGACAAAAAATCTCTCCTACACACAGTGCGCTGCATCGTTTGGAAGTATTGGAGATCGCTTCCAGAAAGTGCAAACGCCAGACTGATGGAGTCAGAGCAAGATCAGGACTGGAGGGAGGAGGAGGGAGGGGGAGAGGGGGAGGGGGGAGAGGGGAGAGAGGGAGGGAGGAGAGGGGAGGGAGGGAGGGAGAGGGGAGGGGGGAGGGGGAGAGGGGGGAGGGAGAGGGAGGAGGGAGGAGAGGGGGGAGAGGGGGAGGGAGAGGAGGGAGGGGGGGGAGGGAGGAGAGGGAAAGAGGGTGGGAGAAAGAGGGTGGGAGAGGGAGAGAAAGTGGGAGTGGGAGAGAGAGAGAGAGAGTGGGAGAGGGAGAGAGAGAGTGGGAGAGGGAGAGAGAGAGTGGGAGAGGGAGAGAGAGAGTGGGAGAGGGAGAGAGAGAGTGGGAGAGGGAGAGAGAGAGTGGGAGAGAGAGAGAGTGGGAGAGAGATTGGGAGAGAGAGAGTGGGGAGAGAGAGAGTGGGAGAGGGAGAGTGGGAGAGAGAGAGTGGGAGAGGAGAGAGTGGAGAGAGTGGAGAGAGAGAGAGAGAGAGGGAGAGAGAGATTGGGAGAGAGAGAGTGGGAGAGGGAGAGAGAGATGGGAGAGAGAGAGAGAGTGGGAGAGAGAACTTTGGATGATGTCGATGGGATAAAGAAACGATCAGCTGAAGGTGTTATAAAATGAACCAGTGAGGCTTGAGAGAGAGAGAGGAGAGAGAGAGAGAGGAGAGAGGAGGGAGAGAGAGAGAGAGGAGAGAGATGGGGTGTTGTCGCGCTTTTGTTATCGATGTGATTGATCAGTGACGTGAGGCCAATTGGTACAGAGTCCGATCCTACTGGAGATGCAGCGGAAACGCACAACATAGTCCTACTACTGGGGCTGAGAGAGAGAGAGAGGGAGAGGGAGAGAGAGAGAGAGGTGGGGGGTGTGGGGGGAGGTCCCGGCTCCAAATATTGACTGATGGGAGTCTCGGACTATCTCTCTCTCTCTGTCTCTGTCTCTCTGGTTTGCTTTGCTCTTCCCCCCCACCGGCGGCCCCTCTCACTCGTCTCCCACTCCCCCCCCCCACCCCACCCACCCCTCACCCTCCATCACCCTCACCCTCCATCACCCTCACCCTCCATCACCCCCAACCCCACCCACCCCTCACCCTCACCCTCCATCACCCTCACCCTCCATCACCCTCACCCTCCATCACCCTCACCCCCCCCCCACCCCTCACCCTCACCCTCCATCACCCTCACCCCCCACCCACCCCTCACCCTCACCCTCCATCACCCTCACCCCCACCCACCCCTCACCCTCACCCTCACCCCCCACCCACCCACCCCACCCACCCAGGATGGAGATGGACGCCGGGTCCTCCTGGACCAGCGAGCGGTGGCAGAATCTGACGGGCAACAACACTTCCCACCACCTGCCTCCTCCTCCTCTTCCTCCATCCTCCTCCTCCTCCTCCTCCACCTTCCCCTCCTCCTCGGAGGTGGAAGGAGTCGGCCGGTCCATCGGACTGTTCCTCATGCTGCTCATCAACGTGCTCGGCCTGGTGGGCAACCTGGCCGTCTTGGTGGTGATCGTCAAGACCCCCGAGCTGAGGAAGTTCCTCTTCGTCCTGCACCTGTGCCTAGTGGACCTGCTGTCGGCCACAACCCTCATGCCCCTGGGCATAGTCCTGAGCTCTGCCCTCTTCGCCCAGGTGGCGGTCAGCGAGGCTCTCTGCCAAGCCTACGTGTTCCTCGAGATCTGCTTCAGCAGCGCCTCCATCCTGACCATCACCGCCATCAACATCGAGCGCTACTACTACATCGTCCACCCGCTGAGGTACGAGGTGAAGATGACGGTCGGCCTGGCCGTCTCCGTGCTGGTCATCGTGTGGGTCAGCGCCGTGCCGACCTCCTCCATCCCGCTGATCGGCTGGAACCCGCGGGTCAACGCCTCCTCCTTCTCCTCCTCCTCCTCCTCCTCGCCCCACGCCAGCAGCCGCACGCGCTGCTCGGTCCAGCGGGACTCGGGGGACTACGGGAAGGCGCTCGTGCTCGTGTTCGGCCTGTCCTGCTTCATCCTGCCCACCCTGGTCATCTTCGCCGTGTACGGCAGTGTGTTCAAGGTGGCCCGGATCATCGCCCTCCAGCGCGGGCCCCTGCCCGCCTCCTGGGTCGCCGCTAGCCCCCGCCACAGGTCGGACTCCACCGCCAGCCAAGTCACCATGGTGACTGGTGGCGCCAGCCGGAGGCGGCACTCCCCGGACGTGGGCTTTGGGGGAGGGAAGGCTGCCATCACCCTCCTCACAGTGGGAGGGCAGTTTCTGGTCTGCTGGATGCCGTACTTCGCTTATCACCTCCGCACCGTGCTGACCGTCACCGAGCTGCCCCCGGAGCCCTGGGAGACTGTGGTCACTTGGCTCGCCTTCTTCTCTTTTGCTGCCAATCCTTTCTTCTACGGCTACCTCAACCGGCAGATCAGGAGCGAGCTCACCCGGTTGCTCAAATGCTTCCTTAAGCAATCGCTGGACAACCAATTGGGTCCCTCGAGTCGCGAGGGGTCCATGGACGAGAACTTCCTCCAGTTCCTGCAGAGGACCAGCCACCCAGCAGACAGGAGAGCCGGCTGTTTGCCCACAAGTCCCAGGACCTTGCTGAACCAAAGCACAATGAGTTTCCGGATCCCCGGGCAGATCGTCGAGGAGATACCTGAGATGATGGAGCAAGAGACTGGAGAGGACTTGGCAAAGGTCCACACTCTCCTCAGGCAGGAAACGTGATCCATCCCTTACTCCAGTCAGCCAGAGTCTAACAACACCACAGAACCCAAGAACCCAGCTGAGGGAGAACCAAGTCCTTCAAACTTTTCCAACCCAAGTTTTGCCAAAATGACATTGAACCTCAGCATTTCCAATACAACAACAAATTTGGATTTTGTACAGTCCAGAGGACGTGAAACCAACACTTTCTTTGATTTGAGGACGTTTGGGAATATTGTGGGTTTTCTTTTTTTTGGAATTTCATATTGATATCAATCTCGTGTTAAATGGAAGTGAGACGACAACGCCAATCAAACGGATTTGTAAGACTTTGTCCCGCGGATTTATTTGTAAATTCCACGTTTCATGCTCAGAAAAAATTGACAAACTATCGCCGTGTTTCCCATGGGTACAAGATGGACTGAACCCAAATAATGCCACAAACTTGACAAGAGTGTAAAGGGCTGAAGATTAAAAGAGGGGAAGGTGAGCAGATTTTAGGTTCGAACAAGGATCCCAGAAGAACAATGCGAGCTACAGGGCTAGTAAGTTTATGAGGGGAATGAGATAATTTACAAGGAAAACAGGGAAGGGCATAAGTGAGAAAAAAGAAATATGGTACGTGTGAAACTTTTGGACTAACCAGCTGGACTACAACTGTATTTTGCAATCCTGTTCGTTCCTAAATACTGGTTGCTGACTATTGCCATATAATGAAGGAAAATCAGCTCGGGTTGTCAATTTCAATGGAACAACCGATTTAATCTGAATTTTGGACGTCAGACTGCAATCAAACCTGTAAAAGTGACCATCTCTATTCAGCAACCACCTGGTGTCAACAACCACCCTGAACAATCCCTATGGATTTTCCATAACAAACCACCTCTATTCAACACCTGTCTGAACCAACAACTGATGGCCAATCCTTTTTAGCCCTGTTGGTTTGCAGACACCCTTTTCTGTGGTCAATTCTAATTGAATTTAACTGTACTCACTGGTAATCCATTACCAATTTCTGAGCGCATGCGTGTAGGCTCCCGCCAGACTCCAGGTGCATTTACCAACTGAGCAGCTTACCTGATGGACACAGATATTTTGGCCTGGTCAACGACTCAATGGACCCACACTCAGAGGCTACCTTCACAGAAAGGCCACTTTGGTCCAGTTCCCTGAGTGGATGCTGAAAACAGGTTTGAGTGTATTTTAATTTTTAAATTGCACATCCCATATGTAAAAGGGAGTGGAAAAGTGAGATATTCCCATTTTAAGTTTCTTTGGAATGTTATGTCACTGGAGACAAATAATGTCTGATCTGAAAGAACAGTCAATAAGGATCTGTTTTCAAACTCCCACACGTGTACAAGTATTAAAGATTCTCGCTCATTCGGTGACTAATAGCAGTTGCATCTTATAGTATTGTACACTTAATCTATATTGAATGGTTATGATGCTGTCTTTCTCAACAAAACCAAGAAATCGTTTTTTGGAATCAAAAGCACAGATTATGACCTGACATAACCGGGAATTTTACTTTTGATTTATAAAAAAAAGTCCCATCACTACTGTAAATGTATCCTTTCCATTAATAACTGCACTGAATCTCACGGTCCTAACCTGACATTCCTAGTTGTAACAACAATATAACTTAGAAACTTTTTGTGTTGTATATGTCAAAATAAAGATGCTGCTAACCGCTATAATTACCATTGTTTGTTTGTGGTATATTTCACTTTTAAGGCCCTCCATGGCCTTGCCCCCTCCTACCTCTCTGACCTGCTAAACTCTCAGCCCCCAGGCTCTGGAACTCCATCCCCCAGTGCCTTCGCCTTGCTTCCTCCCTTTCCTCCTTCAAGGCTGGTCTCAAAACCTTTCTCTTTGACCGTGCCTTCAGCTCCCCTCTCGACTCTCTTCCCCCTCCTCGCTCCCTCCCTTCCCTCCCCTCACCCTGACCATTTCCCCCCTCCTCGCTCCCTCCCTTCCCTCACCCTGACCATTTCCCCCCTCCTCGGGTCATGACCCAACTGTGCAGCGCCTTGGGACGTCCTCCTGACGTGAAAGGCGCTTTATAAATGGAATCTTGTTGTTGTTGTTGTTGTTGTAACCCCCCTATCAACCTGTCTGCTGCCTCTGTTCAGCAGACACTGGCTTGCTCCATGTCTCCCGCCCTACCACCGGCAGCTGGGCTTTCAGCCTCTCTGCCTCACCCTTTGGAACTCCATTCCACAATCCCTTCGCTTTGCTCCCATTCTTCAAGGGACGACTCAAGACCCTCCTTTCTGACCGTGTCTTCAGCTGCTCTCCTACCTCTCTGCCCTCCCTCATCCCAACCCTGCCCCCCCCCCACGCTCGGGTTCTCATCCATCCCTTGGGACATAATAATAATAATCCTTGCATTTGATGTAGCGCTTTTCACGTCGGGAGGACGTCCCAAAGCGCTTCACAGAACACACTGTAAAGTGAACTGACTGTATATTTGTGGGTAAACGCGGCAGCCAATTGCGCACAGCAATGTCCCACAAACAGACGTAGATTGACAATGACCAATTTATTATTGTTTTTGGTTTTGGAGGGATTATTATTAGGCGTGTGGAGTAAGGAAACTTGCCCAAGGTTTCGCCCTGTGCCTGGAATTGAACTCAGGTCTCTCACTTGGAAAGCGAGTGCTCTGTGAAAGGCACTTTACCAATGTAATTTTGTTGTTGCTATTATTGTTATATTGGGCAGGAAAGCTTCAGTCTTGTTGACATTCAACTGGGGAAAGTTGCAAGAGAGCTACAATTTACAAAATGTAACTGACTTGCCTCATTCCAGAAATATAGGCAAAAGTGTTAAGTCGAGAGGAAATAATTAAATAAATTAGGTATTTTCCAGTGAACTTCAAAACCAGAAGACAAAATATATGAAGCTATAATAATAATAATAATCCTTGCATTTGATATAGCGCTTTTCACGTCGGGAGGACGTCCCAAAGCGCTTCACAGAACACACTGTAAAGTGAATTGACTGTATATTTGTGGGCGAACGCGGCAGCCAATTGCGCACAGCAATGTCCCACAAACAGTCGTAGATTGAAAATGACCAATTTATTATTGTTTTTTTTTTGGAGGGATTATTATTAGGCGTGTGGAGTAAGGAAACTTGCCCAAGGTTTCGCCCTGCCTGGAATTGAACTCAGGTCTCTCGCTTGCAAAGCGAGTGCTCTAACCACTGAGCTACAGGACTCCGATATATATATATATATAGTACACTATATATAGTACGCTATATATAGTACACTCAAAATGGTAAAATACTGATATTTTATCAGAAATCTGCTGATAATCCTTTTAACCTAAATTTGACTGAACAAGAATTTGGTTTTAATTCACTTGTATGAAGCAAGATCCCATTAGTTGTCTTATTAGTAAGTAATTAATACACATTACACACTATAGTTAGATCAGTCTTTATTAAGATTGCTCATGTGCACTAAATTGCCAGGAGAAAACTGACAGAGGGAATTGGCTCATTACCACTCCATTTGGATAATTTTAAGTAGCAATAAGGGCTTTCTATTGTTCCTTTAACTTTGTTTTACTTTATGCGGATCCCTGACTGACCAGCACCTTGGGACGTCCTCCTGACATGAAAGGCGCTACATAAATGTAATTTTTTGCTGTTTATCAAATTTTCCTCCTTATAATTTTTTTTCTTAAAAGGTAGAATTGTTATTTAAAATGTATCTTAGAACAGAATTCTTATTCCAAATCACCTCATGTTTAATATTTCTATATTTCCAAAGTTGAAACAAACCAAAATGTTTAATCTAGCATCTCTGTATAAAGTGCAACAAATTCTCCAACTCTTAAGGATTTCATTTATTTCCTGAGAAAATGTTGGAGAATAATGGACGTACAAGAGTAATCACAAGGCAACACTTTCAAGATTCAAAGAACATTTGACTCAAGAGAAAAACCTGGATCTTTTGTAACAGTCCTTTGTAACAGATCCCTTTCAAACGTACATTATATTATGATTATCAATATCTTTGAACTGAAAGATTCTTTTTAACTATTGGTAGATTTTTCCTCCTGTCTGCAAGTGACACAACAAACATCAAAAATAATGTTTCATTCAGTTGATTAATCATGATATCTACAATACACAGAAATGCTGCATGTTTATCAACAAGTGAATCTCCATTTGTCTATCAGAAAATACCATTAGTGCACTTTTTGGGAGATCAGCATATTTATTGAATCCCAAGCAAACTAGATTTGAATTCTGATGAGGTGGCATAATCCATATTGAGTGCAGATTATTGAACAAACAATACTAAGCTTTATAATGAGCCTTTTGGCATTTGACGATCACATCTTCATTTACAATCAAAGCTTTACTTACCATTGTCAACTGAGAGCATCATCGCACCAAAGCTCTGGTGCCTAGCTGACAGCATACAAGCAAAATGGAATAATTGTTCCTTAAAGATTATGCCACTCCAATTGCGAGTTAGTTGGTAAAAAAAAATCTGAAAGCCAAATAAACTAGGATCTTGCTCAAAGCTTTGCAACTTGGTCTAGTGCAATAGCAAGATAATAATAATCCTTGCATTTGATATAGACGTCTTTGAGACATCTCAAAGCGCTTCACAGAATATACTGTAAAGTGAATTGACTATATTTTGTGGGAGAAATTTCACACATCTTCCTCCAATGGATGGAAAGTGTTAAACCTAGTGTTAAAGCCCCAAATCAGCACATTCCCATGTTCCAAAGCTGTGCATCACTTGTATTCAATCCTTACTTGGAGAAGGTTTCTTAGGCCAAAATGTCTGAACCTAAACTTCTGAATTTTTGTTCAGAATTGCATGAGTTGCAACATTTGCAATTTTAAGGTCTAGATTAACTATCCCATGGCTAGGGAATGGTGCAGCATGACCTAACAGTAGACAAAATGTGTGCATATTTGGAAAGATAGTTAATCAAGATAGAAGCAATTTTATTACAGAACATATAAAAAGATACATTAGATATGAGCAAAACTCCCACAATTTGTACAACGCATATTTTGTCCTCTGTGATTCATCACATTTGATTCCATCAAACTTTCAAATGCTGTATCTACTCTTCAATACTTTAAACAATCCTTCTTCAACCTCATATTTCTGTAAATGATCAAAGAGGGCTTTCACAACTGAAAAACAGAAAAAGTGTGTTAATAAAAGTGTGTTAACAAACACTGTCACATCTCTTGAGTATTTACAATCATCAGCATCTACTTGTGGTCGTTATAGGCTTCGATCCTGTAAAGGATGCATTGAGACAGAGGGATATTCTGTAACCCATCAATTCAGAACGGTACAGCTACACATGTATCATCGAATAAAGTAAATATTTTATGAAGCTGTGGGTAATGAAAGCATTCCCTTTGAATTAAAAGGAGGGAAACATTCTAGTTGTGGTACATGGGTCACTGTTTTCCATCCCACCAGTTTGCTTGCTACTCCAATAAAGACATTTGATTAAAAATAAGAGCTTGCTGCATTATAAATTCCCCTCCACCTTGACTTACAAGTGGTCTCTTGAAATAGCAGAATTATTTGTTGGTTTTCCTAACTTGACAGCTATTTATTTTCTATTTTTATTTTTGAAGGAACCTAATCTTCCTAAGTAAGTGTGAGGTTCCCTCCTCCCAGCCAGATACATCGGTTATTGGACGAGCACAGAAGTGCAGTTTTCACTATATCTTGATGGGGAAGCATGAGTTGATCAGGATCGCTACCTTGCTGTACACAACACTGTAACAGAAATCCTAATGACTGTGGGTTGGTATACCAACAGACCATTTTTAATGGTTCACTTCTTATAACTGTACTTGGGGTAATAAGCTTACCTTTTCTTTCAGACGCAGACATAAACATCACTGCCATATCAAATCGTTTCACAATGGACAAGTTCCTTAACACATCTAGGATTAAAGATGGTTCTTCAAGACTACAAATTGAAGAAAAAAATGTTTTCCCAAACTATTGGTGAAAATTACAATCATGAACTTTAAACATAGGAGCACAGTAATAGTACTTTAACATGCAAATTGATAGTTAAGATTAGTTTAGAAATTTGCAAAACTGTAATAAATTGTTTTAATCTTACAGGTGCAAAAAACAAGTTATTGGATATTGTATTTCAAAGAAACTTCAAGACCTTCCTTTTTTAAAAAAAAACGTGAAACATTCCAAGCTACATAAATTGCTTCATAGAAAGAGTTTCATTCTAAAGTTTTATTAGATCTGTATCTTCCGAACATTTTGACAAGTAGCAGGAATGTGAGAGATGCACATACAGTTCAATTAGCAAAGATGAAAAGCAAAACCAGACACATGGTTAATCCGACAAAGTACTGCAGGATTTTCATTTTGTTGCATCTCAATGTCACGAACACCAAATGGCGTTACCTCAGTAGGATGAAATAGATCAACCCAAAGAGAGGAATCTGAGTGACTAAGACCTATTTCAATTTATTTACTATTTTTAAGTAAATACCTCAGTTAAGTGACTTTCTATATTTGGCTGCAAGTTGGTTAATCATAATAATAATCCTTGCATTTGATATTGCGCCTTATCACATCGTTCAGAAGTCTCAAAGTGCTTCACAGAGTATATTGTAAAAAGTGGATTGACTGTGTATTTTGCGGGTGAAGCACGGCAGCCAGTTGCGCTCAACAGTGTCCCAAAAACAGTCGTGGATTGAGTGACCAAATTGTTCTTTTTTTGAGGGATTATTACCCCCAGAAAACGATCCACCAATCGACTAATAACCGGGTTGCTACTTATTGCTAGGTAAACAGAGGTGTGTGGAGTAAGGAAGCTTGCCTAAGGTTTTTTCCCCATAGTTGGTTGGGGAGAAACAACAATCATTCGTATAGCAGTAAAGTAGCTTCTTGCCTCAGCCTGTTTACTGGTTACAATGAAGGACAAACACTGTATCTCATCTTCTATAAATCAAAACATTTCAACTAATTAGTGATTCCAAATTAAAACAAAACAGCTGAGGGATATTCTGCCATGGCTCCAGTTCAATAAAATGTTGACATATGAAAAGCCATTGGAATCAGACTCCAATTTTTCAGGACTATGGAAATGTGAACAAATTGCTGCCTGAAGTTTATTGGTCATTTAATAAGAAAGAAATCAGGGAATGAGAACAAGTAGTTGGAAAAATCGGAAGGATTAGTACTCTAAAAACTACAACCCATGCAGTGGATACAAGATCCTTTAATTATCATTAGATGCTTCTAGGAGACTGTATAAAGTGGATCCATTAAATTCAGTGACAGTGCATTAATGCTGCTTAAAAGTGCATACAATTTGTTTTTAAAAAGATAAATCCTCCAGCTAAAGAGAACTAGCAGATTAAATACATGCAACTTCAGAATACTGCTTGGTAAGAATATGGGAGGGAACCATCCATCTGCTACTTGGCTATCCAGTGACAAGATAATAGGTGGAATACATTACTCAGGAAGTAATCGAGGATGCACAGTAAGGATCAATGGAAAAGCAGCTCACTAGATTTCCAATGAACCCACAAACAATTAAAATGGGTACTTAAGACGTGTTCTCCTCAATTTAGCTACTGCATTTAGCAATGTACTTAGCAAAATTTCACATCAAAACTCTCACTACTGAAAATCATATAAATTCACACTGTATCGGTTGGTGCCATTATTTAAGTGTCCTATTTTCAGTGATAGCAGAACTGAAACCGATTCAAGTGTATGAAAATATGCTACAGCATTTATCGTCAGCTGTGCTGCAAGATCCATATCACAAATGCAGTACAACGGTCTGTGATCCTTTACTTAAAATAATAATTTGTTTCATCACATAAATGAGAAGTTTTACTGTGTAGTATTAATTATCTTTGTATTTGATTTAATGGCTTTCACGTCGGCCAGATGTCTCATAAGATGTTTCTGCAAAATATGATTGTTTGTGGGCCAAGATGGCAGCCAATTTGCACACAGCAATAACCTACTAACAACCATGACATGAATGCCCAATTTTAATCGGGGGTTTTCGGCCACGACAATGGAAGAAACTCCCTTCCTTTCAAATATTGCTATGGAATCTTTAACATCCACCTGAATAGTTTAGACTAAAGACATTCAAGTTGTTTTAGTTAACCAAAATTTGAAGTACATTTGCAGATTCTGGTCTTGAAATACAGTAACAGTTATAGACTTGTTTTTAAATTTTATATGCCCAACGTTTCGCCCTGCTGGAAATCGAACCCAGGTCCTTAGCCTCCATCAAGTCCCGCCTCAAAACCTTCCTCTTCGACCATGCCATCGGTCACCCCCCTTCCCCTCCCCTCCCTTCTCCCCCCGACCCCAGCTCGGGTCTGAAATGCTGTCACAGTCCAGCGTCTTGGGACGTCCTCCCGACGTCTATACTATGCTATACAAATGTAATCTTGTTATTGTTGTTGTGAGGCGAGTGCTCTAACTAAGTTAGGACTCCACTTGGAAACTTATGGAAAGGCAATGCCAGAAAACTGGCTAATAACAGGGCCCAGATGGGTAATGTTAAAATACTTTGATCTTATACTTTCATACTATGATTTGCAAAAATACAAGCCTTTGTGATTTATAAAAGGAAATAAAGAACAATAAATGTTACCTAAAACTGAATATAGAAGCCATTAAGTGGAAGTGTATAGCAGTTTCTGGATTGGAAAATGGCCAGTACGTTTTAAGAGGAGAAACACATAAAGCTTCACTTGGAAAGGCAACAAGCAAGAATTCATAAAAGGTAGATCAGTTTTAAAGTAAACCTTTTTTTAAAAAAAAGGCAAGGGACAAGGGAAATGTCATTCATAAGGACATCTGGATATGACAAGATTCCACATCAGTGATCAATAAGGAGTCTTATCGAGAAGCTAAGAAATCACATAATAGGTGATAAAGCATGGAGCGAAATAGATAATCAACTTAAAAACAGGAAATAGAGGATCTTTCAGACTCAAAGTTTACTGCTGCTCTCCACCAAGCCTAGTCTATACACACAATGGACTTACCGATAAAGACCTATTGAGAAAACAGCCAGAAGTGAGATAGAGGTTCTGAATGCTTTAATTCTTGGTCTCCACCAGATGGAACAGAGCGACAGGCTCCCTCATTAGGCAACACTCCTATGGGTTTACAGTCACGTATGTTGTCCTGGGAGACCCTCAATCCTCCAGTGAGTTCACACAAACTACCGGTCTACACATTTTCAAAATCTGCTGCAAAATTACTGTAATGTTTTCTCCTTTTAATCTGAGATATACACACTGAGTGATTCTGTCCGTCAATTATTGTTGTTAATTAATATGCAGTCATGCTCTGGCAACATGTTATGCTCAACGTCTATCGTTGGTAGAGCACTAAGCCATACAGACCACTCTGCCATCGAGGGAAGTCAGTGGACATTCAACATTTTAGCTGAATCGCATCCATTTCATTACCATGCGGGAAAAAACAAGAGGATGTGTTTCAGACCCATTCTTCAAACCAAAGGCATCCTCCAGATATAATAAACTTTGTCTTCAGGGTTAACATAGGCATTAATGGGAAGAATCTCTGCCTCAAGTGTAGTCTGCTCTTCTAAATCCTGCCACTAAGCCAGGGTGGTTAGTCTGTTATTAGAGCATTGCAGACCTGCCTGGCTAGTGTAGATTAAGTGGTGCACCTCACTGTACATTTCAGTAATGAAATATTTGAAAAGATAATAATATTTGCATTTGATTAGACAGAATAATGAGCAAATTACACTGATGTAAATTGGAGAGCAACTGTATCAAAGTAAATATTTCAATTATAATCAATTTCCAGGCTATGTTTAATTAAGCCACTGTATATAGAACATGTTTATGAGTCACCGTATTCACAATCTAATTATACTAAAAAGAACAGTATGTACTTTGGCTTAGAAAACTACATCTAGCTTTGAATGTTACTTACTTGATGTATGAATCATGAAGGATGTTTAAAATCTGATTCAATATGTCAGGCTCCAAAGACTTTTGAAACAGTGTTGGGTAAAAAGAGGGTTCAATTTGCTATTCATAAAAGGAAAAACAAGAAAAATTAAAATTTTGCATCAGATGTAGAGAATATGTGAATCAACTTTAAAACATTTTTCTATATTGGAATCTGTTGAAAAGCTAACTTCGAATTAATTAACATTATAACCAAAGCAAAAGTTAGAAAACAGTTATTGTTAAATCCAAATAAAAGGACAATTTCCTTTGAACTCATTTAATCATTACCATAACACGTTAATACAATTTAATCTTTTATATCATAAAACAATTAACAAAAGTTAAGAACTATGCATGATAGGAAATGTGCAATTACAGTAAATGATTATAACAGATGTTAAAGGGCCAGTATCCTTTCCTGCTGATCTAAAGTGGTTGTTTCTCATCCAACATTGCAAAATGCACAACAAAAGAAAATAATAATATTTTTAAAACTGTACAAAAATGTTTTTAAAATCTCAAAAAATATGTAACCCCAAATCAGCTAGAAGGCCTGCAGTGACCACCCCCCCACCAAAAGAAAATCTATGGCCAAACCATTCTATACATTTTTACATCACACAATTACATTGAAATAATATACAATATTAAAGCTACTCAAAAATCAGACATTGTTTTGAATCAAGTATGGAATTTAGAAAGGGATGAAATAGGTTACCTTTAAATATTTGTACATAATCTCAGGATTATTTCTCAGTTTCCGAAGGTCTGCTTCAAGCTGGAAGGAGTTAGCAGGTGCAGGAGGTGTCGTCAAAGAATGGGAAAATAAAAGGGCTCCTGCCTTCTTTTTCTCTCCTGAATTTTGTACATTAGTTACAAAAGTAGCTTGTTGCTTGCCTGACCCATCAGGACATTCTCTAAAAGACAACAAGTCATCCTTTTAGAAATACTGCACTATAAAATGCCATGGGAATATTAATGCAATTGAATAAAAAGTACATTAGCAACTCTATTTTCAAGAAATAACTCATAAAACAACTTTCTTTAAGAGTTTGCATTGTGAATTTTTTGCTAATCAGCCAGTTTATTTAATAATAATTTTTTGCATTTGATATAACCCCTTATCATGTCCGAGACGTCTCAAAGCTCGTCACAAAATATGCTGTAAAGTGAATTGACTGTATAGTTTGTGAGCGAAAAGCGGAAGCCAATTGCATACAGCAGTGTCCCACAAACAGTCGTGGATTGAATGTCCAAATTATTATTTTTTAAAAAAATATTTTTTAGAAAGGGATTATTACCCCCGGAAAAGCGATCCGCCAATCAACTAACAGCCGGGTTCCTACTTACTGCTAGGTAAACAGGCGTGTGGAGTAAGGGAACTTGCCCAGCGTTACGCCCTGCCCAGGAATCAAGCCCAGGTCCTCTGATTTAATGGCATCACAAAGTAGCTACAAGTATAGCAAACAGGAAAGCTACGCAGAATTTCAATTTTAGAGCTGTATCTTTAGCTGCAAAACATATTAAAATTTAAGACAAAGCTCTGCTCCAAAGAATTTCCTCAATGCAATATTCTGATTCAAAGAACTCAGCAATAGCCTATTTAGCTACAATGTAAAAATTTTAATTTCTGAAGTAATTATTGACAAGCAAGCATTCCCAACCTTCAAAACAAACTAATCCAGCAATAGATCTGTCGAGGTGGATTTAATTAAACAGCTGATGCATGTAAATGACTGTCAAGCAACGTTTCCTAGGCGACTTAACAATGATCTACTGATCCTCTCATTACAAACCTAAAAATAACTCTTTCAAGACATCTCTCTCTATCCCTTAATAAAGGATCCAAATCAAAAGAAGGAAAATAGGCTGCAATGCATTTATTGTCCAATTCTCAAAAAGCAAAGACTTTCTCAAATGACTTAAAACAGAAAACTAAAAACGGAACACTAAACTGACCCAATTTCACATTTGATCAAAAGAAATATTGTTCTGAGTGCCTACGATTGCAGTTCCTAAAATAAAAATAACCGCTGTGGAAAGGGTTGCATTTGCCCCCTCTAAATTAACAATTTGACGACCAGATGTTTCAGCGCTTTGCTGTGCAGTGGAGCAGCAAGATTTACAACAATTTAAGTCCTTAATTCCCACAACTTGCTATGTGTGCTGTGTTGTTAGGAGTCACAATGCAAATCCTCCAAGAGGAACGGATAGTGGAATCAACCAGGAATAATAGCATGTATAAGAGATTGAGAGGCGACATGATTGCTGTCTTTAAGATTCTAAAGGAGCAAGATAATATAGATCATGGCAGGCTGTTTGAACTTGTCCAGAATAGTAGGACCAGAGGCACGGCCTGCGATTGAAGCGGGGTAAATTCAGAACGAATCTATGAAAAAACTATTTCAGTGAGTGAATAGTGGAACAAGCTCCCTAGCGAAACAGATGAAGCAGGAAGTGTTGATTCTTTCAAATACAAATTAGAAAGTTTTCTTTTAGGAAATGACATTATGGGATATAGTACATAGGTAGTTTGGGACATATATGCATGCAACCGCCAGGAAGTGGAAGGCAAACTAAATGGACCTCAGTCTTTTATAGTCTAGCATTTCTTATGTTGTTATGAATGTCTCCATGCAGGAGGTGAGGAAAACTAGATTTTAGTGAAGGATTGATGAGTATTTTATCGAGAGCAATCTCTGTTGGAAATGTATGCACATGAATGCTAGGTAAGGCCAACATTAGTATTGGCTGCAATAGCTTCAAGGTTAGAGAACATCCCAATACGCAGTCCAGTCTCACACACGAAAAGGCAAGTGGAATTTGGCAACCTACTGGAGACATGCCAGTGCCCACTTAGGAATGGAATTGGGTGGGGGGGGAAGATCCAGAACAGAACATTTTGAAAAGTGAATGTGTATTAATATTTCTTCGTAGCATAAGTCAACTTACATTTTATTGGAGTGTGAGGGAATATCCTGAATTTCTTCAATTTTAAGTACTTTAGCACTAGGAGCTTCAGCAGTTGCCACAGTGTCTTCACCACAGCTGACCATTTCTTCACTCTTATTTGGCTGCACTTTAGGTGGTAACACATCAAACAGCTGCTTCACTGTGAAATCAGAAGGGATAGAGGCTGCAGCTGCCCTGGTTGTAGCCCTGGTCATTTCATCTCCAACTTCTTCAATAACCATTCTTCTCAGGGGTTTCTTGAAAAGAACACACACAAAAACAGTAAAATAAATTATTCTTTACACTGCTGTGAACTAAAGCAAACTAAACGCAAATCAGTTATGGGATATTTAGGTCTTTTAGGTCTTTNAAAAATCTTTTATTATTATAACTCAATTTATACTCAATTTCTAACTCATTATAGAAGTTTATACAGTGACAGATAAAAGATGGTTGTGTAAAAATAATCCATTTTCATTTAAAAAATATTAAACCATTTCTAATTGACAACATCTGATTTCAAATATGCAACACTATTACCATCACATCAGTAATAAAAGTCCAGAGGACATTCCTATCTTAGATTATGTCCTTATAATTTTACATTCAAGTTGTAGCATGGAATGCTTGCATTTAGATTATATACTGTCTCTACTCAAACTAAGTACTAAATTACAGGCAAGCATATGCCTAAATCATCAGGTCTATAAAGGAAAACAAATATTTCAGCCTGTACTTAAATTCCCCCAAATTAATTGTGCTTTATAGTGCTAACAACTGTCAATAGCCCACATTAATGCTCTGCTACAAGTATTTTTAATTCAAATTAGGACAAGAACATTTCTATACATAATGTCTCATTTCACAGAATGAAACTATAGAATACTATAGTTCAACTTGGAGCTCTAAAGTCTCAATTAAGCTGTTAACTTTGCTTTTTTAAAATAACCTCTTTAACTTGTATTGAATTTCAATAGAATGTTCTCATTAAATGTACCCAAAGGACAGTTCTTTGCAGTTTTAATATCAGTTTATAGGAACTTAGATAAGTATGCTCAACTATAAATGTAGTGGTCATGACAAGCGGTTCTAAAAAGATTCGGTTTTGTAATTAGAACTTTATTTTGAAGCAATAACAAAGATTATGGTACAACTAAGAGTGTATAAATCATGAATATAGCACACAAGTGTTCAACTAAAACGGCACCATATTGATTTTAGTGAATCAATTTCATCTGCTCTAGTAACAAAGAACTACATGTACAAGGATCAATGCCTTTTAGCTTTCTTCTCAAAGACTTTCACATTGAAAGTGACCACATAGTGAGATGAAAGAGACTCTTCTGACATTTCATGACCACAACACAAGTGCAACTCCAATTATATTAAAGATACAAACGCATTTAATCACTGGAGATGTTCTGCAAAAAAAATCAATAATTTAAGCCAATGAAATTTATCTGCTTAGAAATATTCCCATAAACGAGCAACCAAAATAGACAGATGCATTGAAGTAGAGGTGGTGAGACAGACGAAAATCTTGCTGAAAAAACGTCATATTTCTATTTTGTGTATTCTGCACTTCTTATTTAAGTCGGAATACACGCAAAACAATTATATTAAAACTTATATTCATTTATTTTTATTGAAAAAAGCCTGCATCAAAGAATGGAACGGTCATAAAAGTAGCGTGAAAAGGCAAATTGAATAAAGGAGCCCTTTGAAAGTACAGAAGAAACATTTTGCTTTTTTAATGCAATGTGCTGTTAACTGAAGTCTCTCCTATACATTATAATAATGATACTTCCATTTGATATAGCGCTTTTCAAGTCTTTTAGAAACTTGCCCAAGATTTCGCCCTGCCGGGCATCGGCAGATTAAGATTGATCTAGCTTGCAAGCTTTTAAATATTCACATTCCTATGATCACTCCTATTCATACCAACCCCGAATACCAACTTAAAAGCATAAAAACCTATATATTAGTACCAATATATTATGTTAATACAATCTATCAACAGTGCTAGACTTACAGCAGATCTTAGATGAGGTGGCTTATTAACTGCTTTGATAAGCTTCAGGTCTTCCATTTGTCGTTCTGAAGATTTCTGGTGCACTGTGATGGCTTCCGAATCCAATTCCTTAAACATTGAAAAGTACAAAATTAAAATCCTCGTCCTCACTTTGAAAACCCTCCATGCTCATTCTCCTCTCGACCTCTGCGACCTTTTCATACCAACCTGCTTGTTCCCTCCACTTAGCAGGCACCATGTCCCTTGCTCTGCCTGCCCCAACATTGGTGGTCAGGTCTTGAGTTTTTCTGCCCCCCACCTCTGGAACTTCATCCAGGAATCCCTCCGCCAAGATCAAGACTCCCTCTTTGACCGTGCCTTCTGGTTTTATGTTGTAATTGGCAGCTTTTAATAGTTACCTTGTTTAGTCTTCCAAGCTCAGTTAAAGCTTGCTTGTTTCCTGGTTCCAGTTTCAATACCAGTTCAAAGTCTGACGGAAAAATAAAAAGTTTTAAAACGCCTATAAATTAAACAGTTAATGAAAACAATTACTATCTTTAATTAAAATAGGTAAAACCATAATTGAACTAAAGCCTTGAATGGCACCGAAATTTTGTGGTGCATTTTGATCACTGGGATAGATGCTGATCCATTGTCAGAGGTGCTGTCCTTGAGGTGAAACACTAAACCAAGGTTCTGTCTGCCTGTTCAGTGAACATTAAAGATCCTGTGGTACTATTCGAAAAGAGACGTGTTTCTCTCAGGCTGTTCACAGGACATTGCTGTGTAAATTAACTGCTGCAATCATCTAGAAATGCAGTCACCACACTTCACAGAAAATCCTGAAGCACTTTAAGACATTTTGACATGATGCCAAATCAAATGCAAGGATTATTATTAAATTGCTTTAGATTCAAAGTAGTTTTCTTCAAAAAATATTTCCTTTCAAGACTTAAAACTGCTTTAAACTAGTTATTGGTTTGCATTCTAAAAAGACTCATTGCAAAAATAAGTCTTTTTAAGAGTTTTTCCTTGAAACAAATACATAAAGTATATCTCCCAAGATTGGTAGTCTCCACACCTTCCTTTGCTTCTCTCAGCTTTCCAAGGCCCACACAGGCAGCTCCTCTTCTCGCAAAAGCTTTAGAGTAAGTATTGTCCAAGGAGATTGCCCGACCACAGTCAATTTCAGCTTCTGCAAATCTAACACATTAAGATTTAAACAATACACTGTAAAATGCAATGCAAAACTAGCTTTATGAAAATAGTTTACTTCTGTGAATATTAGGTACATCCAACAAATATAATCAAGAATAACCTTTATTCAGTCTAAAAACTGCTACCAAAAATTCACCCACAAAAAGTTGCCAGCAGTTCAAATAAGTAATTAAGCTGAAATAAATATTGACAATGCGAGAATATTTAATAATACCCGTACATTTTTATGTGTCACCATCGCCTATTTAGTTGTCACTTCAGGCTCATGAGAAAAACTTACTTTTGAAGCTTAAGGTACGCCATGGCTCTGTTGGCTGGCAAAAGCGCATTAGTGCCATCTACTGCTATTCCTCTGGTGTAGCATTCAATTGCTTCTTCATACTTTCCTCGTTTAAAGTACTCATTACCCTGCAATTAAACCATTCTATTTATAAATGTTTAGGTAAATAATATTCACACAACATTTAGAATCCTTTTTGTACAACAGTGACATTCATAATTTTTGCGTTTTTCATGATGGCGGTTTCTAAATTACACATTGAGTGTTATAAAAACACTTCAGACTGGTCTGGTTACACTAACAAAATAAATCATGCAAGTTGTCTACATAACCCATATAAGTTGCAAAAATGGTGTGTTTCAGTATCATGATACTATATACCAAGCAAAAGATCTATATCTTCATGTATAGCAGAAATATACAGGATTGTTAATATTCTTTGTGCACAAACAGCAAACATGGGATCCTGCCAGGACTTTTCTGTCACTTCACAACTAAGGAGCTCTTGTTCGTCAATTATTCTTCAGCTGGAATAAGAAATTCTATAAATTTCAGGTTGTGTACATAGAAGTTCTGAGAGCAGATCAATGGAGCATAGCAATTTTATATCTGGAAACCAATACTGGGAATAATTGATTGATCTTTTGCACCAGTAAAAATTCAGTGCATTATGCTGTACATCAGAGGACATATTGGGGCCAGTTTTAGAGATGATCTGACTTCCAATTTGCAGTACAACCCACACATTACAGGTGAAAAAACAGTTTCCAGGATATAGATGAAAAACAAATTTATTTTGGTATATTCTGATCATTTCCCCACATTATGCTAAACTGTAATCACAGGCACAAACCTACCAAATCTTTATCAAGAATTGCCTGCTGCTTTGCTTGTGCTTCAAGTTGCCCTTCATCAACAGCATCTGGATTTTTGTCATTTGATAGATAATTAACATCTTTTTCACACTGTTTTGACGTAGCCTAGAAAAATTTTAAAAATGAAAATTTTATTCAGCTTGTAAAAACTCTAAATTTACTTAGTGATCTAAATTAGGCTGCATTTTCCAGCAAAAAATACATTTCAGATTCTGCTACAACACAGACATCGCAGATTTAGAGGGATGTTAGACCTTTGGGAGGTGAGTATGACAGGTAGTCCAACTGAGATTGGCAATTGCCTATTCTCTCATTTCTTTCTCCATCACTCACTCTCCTTTTTAAAAAAAACTATACGCGCACACTCAAGCATCTTAGCATGAGTACAANTTTTTTTAAGAATATTGTTGTACAAGAACACCGGAAATGGGTACTAACAATACCACAAGGCCAAGCCATAAAGTATTATAGGAGAAACATGAACTGTTGCCCAAAATACACAGTCACCATACTTTACAGTAAATTCTGTGAAGTGCTTTGAGTTACCTTGACAGCATAGGGTGCTGTGTGAGTGCAAGGATTATGAATAGCATTTCAATCACCCTCCCCCCCACTTTGTATTTGACCTGAAAGAGTCAGAATCTACTAAAAAAAACAATGTTAGCCATCAAGCCCTCAAATTATACATGGCTTGTTACAAACTCTCAAAATATCTTAAGTTAGATGTCAAAGTTATCCATCAACAGAACTTTAAATAAAGACAAAAATGCAAAACATTAATTAAAAAAACAATCTCCCAACCTATCAAAATGGCAAAAGCGCCCTCAAAAATAACCCAAACCTCACTGTATAGTAGATTATCGTCACAGGTAAAACTGTGATTATCATTTGTCGAAAGATTTGCAAACTTGAGTAAAATCTATGCTTGTATCAAAACTAGGATACAAAAGAACTATCAAAATTAATTGTGAATGCCATTCAAACACTTACACAATTCTGTCATGACAGTTAGAATTGAGCATTCATTTTTACCTCATTCAATTTTCTGAGTTCATTGGTTGCTTCAAAGTTTCCTGGGTCTAACTTCAATACCATTCCAAAATCTAAAATATTTTAGGGGGAAAAAAGGAAATGAGTCAGCAGAGACCGAAAAATACAGCATTTAAGCATCCCCAGTGTAAGCTTTTGTGACTTGTATTACATTATACTTCACTTTACAGTTATAAGGACAAAATCTGAAGCTCTTTGATAGAAATGCTAACAAATATTTTAGGTTGAATACAGTAAAGACGTGCTTGGATTTCCTATGTAGGCAACCGCTCTAACGATGCATTTTGGCATTCTTTTCATAATCTGTGTCTCATTAACAAATATCTCCAATCACATAGTATCCAGTGGTTATTTAAATAATAATGTTGTGGAGATGTCAAAGAACTCATGGGACCCTATCCCGATATCACTTTCAGGATGAGAGAAAAAATACTCAACGATTCCATAAAATACAATCTTCTCCTGCACATCACTATACTGTTTGCAGGCGACAATCCAATTGCTCACCGAAAAAAATTACAATGACGCACCTTCCTTTGCACCTTGAACATTTCCGAGTTGAAATCGAGCAGCACCCCTCCGGAGGTAGGCTTTCAGGTAGGACTGGTCTAGCGCAATCGCTAAATTGCAATCAGATTCTGCAACTGCATACCTATCAAAAGGATGAGTTATTCCATAGCTCTCCTCTTCCATGGAATATAAACATCATTTAGAGAATTACAAATTCTATGAACACAACCCTTCTTTGACTATGTTAATTTGCTTGTACCTTTTGGTAAGCTGCCAAATACCATGCAACTGAATGACAAACGTGATTTAACACATCAGTTTTTACTCTACAAATTGTTAGTGCAAAAGACATCTAGTAAGTTAAGAAAGCATTCTTGTTGCCACGTACATGTTTTCTTCATGCTTTGACTGAAATAAAATATTTCACTTCTATTTTATAGACACACTTACTTTTTCATTTTTAAGAAAGTTGATGCGCGGTTTGTAGGAAAAACTGGATTATATGGATCTTCAGTCATGGCTCTAGTATAACATTCCATCGCTTCTTCATATTTGCCATCTTTGAAATAATTATTACCCTATGAAAAAGTAAATAACACATGTGAAATGTCATTGTTTTTCCCCTGGTATTGCATGTTACATGACAAAAGATGCTTAAAGGATGTTCACAATAAATAATCCCACAGTTGATAGTGTCATCACCACCCACAAAATATACAGTCAATTCAATTTACAGTATATTCTATGAAACACTTTGAAACATCTGGAAGACGTGATAAGGCGCTATATCAAATATCAAATGAAAGATTATTATCATCCTCCTAAATTGAGGCATATTACTCTGCTTGAAAGATGTGGAGTCCTGTAGCTCAGTGGTTAGAGCACTCGCTTGCAAGCGAGAGACCTGGGTTCAATTCCAGGCAGGGCGAAACCTTGGGCAAGTTTCCTTACTCCACACGCCTAATAATAATCCCTCCAAAACCAAAAACAATAATAAATTGGTCATTTTCAATCTACGACTGTTTGTGGGACATTGCTGTGCGCAATTGGCTGCCGCGTTCGCCCACAAATATACAGTCAATTCACTTCACAGTGTGTTCTGTGAAACGCTTTGGGACGTTCTCCCGACGTGAAAAGCACTATATCAAATGCAAGGATTATTATTATTATTATTATTATATGCTGTTGTTGTATATCAGTCAAAAATGTGCAACAAAACTAGGATAAACTTTGGTTGAAGAAATTGTACTTGACCAGAACAGATTAGACTACAACCGTTTGCAGGTTAATGAATTTTCAGCCATTACCTTCAAGTTCACCAATAATAATAGTTCCTGAAACCATCAGTTTCTGCCAGTCCTAATCATAGAACAGAATTATAGAATCTTACAGCACAGAAGGAGACCATTAGACCCATCGGGCCAGTGCTGGCTCTTTGAAAAGCTTTCCAATTAGTAACACTCCCCTGCTTTTTTCCCCATCTCCTTCCAATTTTTTTCCTTTTCAAGTAAATATCCAATTCCCTGATGAAAATTATTGAATCTGTTTTCACCATCTTTTAGGTAGTGCATTCCAGATCGTTAACTACTCATTGCGTNAAAAAAATTCTCCTCATCTTCCCTCTGGCTCTTTTGCCAATTATCTGTAATCTATGTCCTCTAGTTACAGACCCATCTGCTAGTGTTTAATTTTTGAAATTTTAGTATTAAAAATTTCCATTTCTAAAATTAAAAGTTGTGAAAATATACAAAATGTTGAGGGCTATAAGACAGTATTCAACCATAGCTGAAAAACAGATTTAACCAACTAGGTTCATACAAGAAACATAGCTTCCAAAATATTCACATTTGTTATGCACAAATTGACTGCTGTGTTTGTCTGCACAATACTGACTGCATTTTTCAATAAATCCTGTAAAGCAATTTGAGACAATGTCCTAACATGAATGGCGCCCTATGAAATGCAATCAATCATCATCATCATCTCAGCAAAATACCTTTTCTTTTGCAGCATGAGCATTCTCTTTATCTGGTTCTTCATCCTCCTCGGTATCTGGGTCTGTAGTGTCATTTTTATCTAATTCTTCAAGTACTTTATCCTAAAACAGAGAAATCCACAATTTTAAATACATTATTTTGGGAACAAATTAATGTTCTCACTTTCTCTGCTCTCTTTCCACCCTCCTACAAAATTGTAGAAGATGCAATCTTTGTGATAAAAACAACATAGAAAGTATTGATCTACAGAAGTAAAGTCTACATCAGTTTTGCAAAATTGTGAAAGAACAAAATCTTTGAAATGATCCCTTCATTTTGGGTATTAATACATACCACCCTGCCTCCCTACCACCAAAATCAAATATTTTAGATGAATTCAGTGCCCCATTATCATTATTTAAGCCATTACTTATCCATTTATATTAACAAGGATACTTTGTAATATCCATTTTGGTATTACATGGAACAAACTTTCATGGTATTGAGCTCCACTAGATGCAATGTGAATTTAGCAACTGCAAGTGTAACAACATTTATTCTTATTTCACAGACCTCATTGAGCTCATAAATAAAATCCCTATTTGGATACCCTACATTCAACTTAGACCCAACTCTTAAAATTCTTAGAACAAACAGTACTTAACATAACAACATATAACAAATGTATTGCATGTTGGAACTTACCACATCAAAGTTTTCCCATGATTTATAGTCATAAGATTTTATTCTTGTTTGTTTCTGCTCGTTCTCTATATTCTTACTAGATGCATTCTTTTTATTTGTCTTTTGCTTATAACCTTGGTTTCGTACAGGAGGCAAAATCTGAAAAAATTAAATTATTCTTGAGAAACAAATCTAGAAAAAAATACATTTGACAAATACACAAAACATTTTGCATTTTTTTTAAACATAAAATGGCAAAAGATTGAAGGCAGCCCTTAGTGTTATAGTTCAACATCCTTGTATCTTCCAGTCTATACTTTTCAGTTGCCGCCGTACCTTATCCCAGACGCAACTGAAACCCTCTACCTTATTTCACCCACAAATATACAGTCAATTCACTTTGCAGTCTATTCTGTGAAGCGCTTTGAGACGTCGAGAAGACGTGAAAAGCGCTATATCAAGTGCAAGGATTATTATTGTTATTATTTCAGACGCAGCCGAAACCCTCGTCTATGCGCTCGTCACCTCCTGCCTCGACTATTCAAATGCCCTCCTCACCGGTTTCCCGAGCTCTACCGTCCACGAAATCCTGCTCATCTAAAACCCCGCTGCCTGCATTCTCCCCTGTGCTGAACTCCGCACTCCCTGCTGCACCGGCCCCCTATCCCCCATCAAACTGACGCCAAGATCCTCACACTCCTCTTCAAATACCTTCGCGCTCTGGCACCTCCCTTACCTGCTTCACCCCCCAGCCCACAGCCTCGGCTCGCCCGGCACCCGGCCGGCCGCCCGCTTGACCCTGGTGCCCTCCAAGTCCACCATCGGTGGCCGCGCACTCTGGCCACTGGGTCCCGAAACTCTGGAACACTCTCTCCCTCAATCCCTCCGACTTGCCTCCTCCTTCCCTCCTGCCTGAGGGGCGCTTACATAAATGCAAGTTGTTGTCGCAAAGCTGCCAATTCACACACTCTCTCTCTCTCTCTCTCTCTCTCACACACAGAGTGCACCGGTAACAGGAGGAGAGCCCGAGGGCCCTGTACCCCCGGGTCGGAGCCCACGCTACACACCGACTCTGCCGCCGGCACGTCTCCGCTCCTCTTTCGCAGCTCCTCGTCTTTGATCTTGATATCCTCCTCCCAGCTGTTCAGGCCCCTCATGAAATCCTGCAGCTCCTCCGACTGCTGCCGCACCTGGAGTTGGATCTCCATCGCTTTGTTGGCGTTCATGTTCGCGGACGTTCCCCGTCAACGGCCGCCGCTCCCCCGCAACGCCATGACAGCCCGCCGCCTCCCAGTCAGCACCGCGCCAGTGGCCCAGTGCGTCACACGGCGTCCGCCATCTTGGTAAAGAAGAACTTGGCTTCAACGCTAGGAGCTGCACCGAGGAGACGACACAGGAGAACGTAACTTCAATACGGGGAGGCGGGGTCGTGGCCCCTACTGTTGACATGGCATAGTGAGGGATGGGGACGGTACAGGGACCAGTGCAGCGTTAAGCGAGAGGTCGCCGGGACTTCGCCTCCTGACCCGGCATGCCTGAGTCGTGACGTCACGGCGACAGCGGCTCATCTGCTCTGCTCGGCGCGCGCAAGTGGAGTCACGTGGTCGGAGCCCGGGACCCGCCGTCGCTGCTGCTCGCGCGCCAGTCAGGCGGTGCTCAGGAGTTTGAACGCGGCCAACGGCCGCCTGGTCAGCGCAACCAATACACAAACATAACCCCCCGCCCCGCCCGTCGCTTAATTGACCTTCGGACCCCTTTTTCAATGGCAGTCTGGTGCCGCGCGCGACCTCTGCCTTGTCAAACGCTTGTCCGGTTGCTTCTCCTGCCTGGTCTCCCTCGGCGCTGTTCAGAGGCCCCGCCCGGCCCGCGGCTGCCATGGGCCGAGGCCGGACTGAGACCGAGACCGAGGCAGATGATTACGGCTATAATTTATTCCCCGAGCGTCAGGCTGGAAAGCAGCAGCAGCAGCAGAAGAAGAGCGTGTTGACAGAAAGCCTCTTCACCTTCCACCACAAATGTCAGGTGATGCTGAAAGTGGCCATGGACACAAGTAAGTGGTGGTGCGCCGTTGAGGGAGCGCACCAGAGAGGGACTGACTGGACAGTCCCGGAGCCCATTCCGTCTTGACCGCCGTATTTTTTTTTAAAATGAAAAACAACCCAGTCAAAAATAATCCTTTGCGGTTGATGCGGGGCCTGATCACGTCTTTTGAGACGTCTCAAAGCGCCTCCCGGAATATACTGCAAAGTGAATTGACTTGAGTATTTTGTGGGCGAAATGCAGCCGCCAGTTGCGCGCAGCAGTTGCCCTGCAAACGTTTGGTCGTGGATTGAGTGACCCAATTTATTATTATTTTTTTTTTTGGAAGGAATTATTACACCCGGAAAAGCGATCCACCAATTGACTAACAACCGGGTTCCTATTAACTGTTGGGTAAACAGAGGAGTGTGGAATAAGGAAACTTGCCCTGCCGGGAATCGATCTCAGCTCACTCGCCACCCCTATCCCGTCCCCTGTAAATTATTCCTTTTAGATATCTTATTATTCTTTACGAACAACTTGCAATATAAATATATTGCACCCTGCACCCAGAGTTGTGTCTCGGAGCGCTTTATCAATGATGGGGGTTTGACACCGAGGTGGACAGAAAGGGAAGGTGGTTGTAGGCACACTCGAAATCTATTTACCATATAAGTTATATAATATAATTTATATAATATAATGCTGCCTTGACCACTTCTCCCAGCAGGGCATCTTGTAACCTCGACAACTTGGTTAATCGCTCCCTTTGCTATTTATCTGATATTCATATGCAAATAAAATCTTGCTCCGGAATAGTCTTCCCTCAACTCACCCAAAGCCCTTCCTCTATCTCTCTCCCAAAGCATGATATTTGGAACCTTAGAAATCTATGGCGGAGTTGGAGGCCTTGTAACTCTTTGTATTATAATACAAATACTATAGTTTTGCTTGTCACATAAAGCCACCTATCCTAATCTCAGTTTCTTGTACTTTCCCTTTACTCTCTTAAAAGTTAGAAGATTGCGCATTCAATAACAACAACAGCTTGCATTTATCTAGCGCCCTCTGCATCGGACGGCGTCTCAGAGTGCTTTAAGCCCCCATCAAAATGTTTAATGAACAGTCCAGGCATGACAAGAAGGGAGTTTGTTCCAGTTTCTTGGCCAAGAATCCTCCAAATCAAACTGGTCATTCACTTAATGTCTGTTTGTGGGACATTTGTGTGCAAATGCACAGTCACTGTAAAATCCTGTTAAGTGCTTTAAGATATTGTGATGATTTGGTAAGTGCTATTTCAAATGCAAGGATTATTAATAGACAATACATCTTAAAAAACAGAAAAGTAGGGTTTAATTTCTTTTTCCATAGTTATTATAATTACAATAATTACCATGTTATATTATTTACTGTATAGCCAATGTAACACTGATCTATACTTCACCAGGTCCATATGCAAAACTTCTTATAGATGCCATGAAAGGCTCAGGGTGGTAAGTGTAATCTTCGAGACAAAACTGCTATTTACATTCAGTAAAACAATTACATTTTGCAGTTTTATTGAAATTTACTTACTCATCTGCTAATGACCCATGTATCCAATCTACATTGTGCAATATGATTACCATAATCCAGAAAACATTTTGTAGCAGGAAAAAATTATTTTAAACTAGATCCCTTTTAGGAATAAAATATTATTGTGACATTAATGATCATAATAATAAAATGTAAATTCAAGTCATGCTTCCAAAAACATTTTTTCAACACTACTAACACCAAAATTCCCAGAATGAAACCCTATTTCATCTGTGGAAACGGCAAACTTTGGGCAGATGGCTACAGCATGTATAATTTGTTTTTTCAGTGCTATTTATAAAGATCGTCACTTTTCATGTGAAGAATGTGATGGAACAGTCAGTGGAGGTTTTGATGCTGAAACATCACAGGTGTGTCATGTATCATTGTTTGAAGAGGAAATGCCTGTTTAGGCACTAACATATGCATTATTGGTGCTTTGTTCAAATTATTATTATTATTTGTTCAAAACCCAGTCTCAATGCAGTATTTTTCTTGAGCTTTTAGGCTGCCACTCTATCGTCAGTTTATTTTTTATCACAACCAGCACAATTTTTGCTGCCACCCTGTATTGGTGATGAAAATGTATGTTTAGCATCTTTTATTTGATATTTTTAGAAAATTTGTATAAATTTCACTTCCTTTCACATAACCTTTTTCAGAAAGGCTTAAATCCATTGTATAAAATTATGAAAAACGTTTTGACAAAAGTAATTTTTAAAAAAGCTTAGTTTGACTTTTGTCAACGCATCAAATTAAATGCATGGTTAACACTACCTCTATCATACATTCTTTAGGGGGAAAGCTCTAGGAATTACAAATCTATTATGGAAGATCCCATGGCACCATTTGAAAAATGAAGGAATTTTCATCCTAGCCAACAATCCCCCAGATAAAAATTCGTCATTCATTTCATGGTTGTTTGACTGCATTTTACAGTGCATCCTGTGAAGCACTATCAGATGTGTTGATGACGTGATAAGGCACTACATCAAATGCAAGAATTAACGTAATGCAAAGTAGTGGAACCGGGACTATATGTTCCATGCAGCAATGCTTTAAAGTACTGTACTGATTTACCCTAAATCTCATGATCTTAGTTTCCTGAGATTTAAGTCATGCGTTTGACATTTAAAACATTGTTCTTCATGTAAGAAGAAATGTTATCTTTAGATGTGCTTTTTCTGCTTTTTAAAGTTACAAAATACAATGATTATTATTGTTACTAATTTATACTAAGATATGCACTTTGCTCTTGCCTTTTTTATTTCAGATTGTTATATGTCAGAATAATATCCATCAACAACCTCACATGAATCGTGTCGTATCCCATGAATTAATACATGCATTTGATCACTGTCGAGCACATGTTGATTGGTTCCAAAATGTAAAACATCTGGCCTGCTCAGAGGTAAGACCTAAGATGGACATGTAGTCGAAATCTCTTAACATAAGCTAGAGTGTTATGTTTTTAATGGAAATGATTTTAAAGGTATGGGTAACCAAGTGATAAATACTATCTAAATGGTAAGCATTTACCCCTCAAAGTAAATCTTTTTTAAAAACTACCCATGGTTTGCACACTATTGAACTCTTACTCAGAGGCCAACCGTATATAAAAGCCATTTTGGCTCATTTATTCATTCAGAAATGAAAATAAATTTAATACGTTTCTATTTTGTGAATCTAAAAGGGCTTCGGGTCATGTTCAGTCTGTAGAAAGATTAGTTTGTTTGCAGAGCAACCTTGTTTTACTCAGATCCATGCTAGAACTGCTGACATAGCTTGATATTTTCCTCTTTTCACACTGGTATGTGAGATTGCCATTAAAGGCAGTTTAGCACTCTGATGTGCCCAAATACTAAGAATGGGTTAAGTCTGCCTAAACTTGCTTTTTCATTGGCTAACTAACTAATGGCCACAAGACCGAGGAGACTTTCATCCATTATTCTGAGCTGCATTCAAACTCAGGTACAAAAGGCAAAAGACCAATGTCTATTATACCACCCAATTGCTCTGGAATTGTTAAAAAAAATACATTTTCTAATATTTTTATTTCTATTTTACCAGATTCGAGCAGCAAATCTCAGTGGTGATTGTACCTTTCAAAATGAACTCAGTAGATTCAACTTTGGTCTAAAGCAACACCAGCAAGTGAGTAGTTTTGTGGGGGATAATGTGGTATTGAGAGGATTCTTGATTATTTATAGATGGTTCCTCTCGCTCATGAAACTTTCCCAGTAACTTGAGATCATTAAACATTATTGTGAACCAATTGCAGGGTCTGTTCTCTACTAAATCATTCAGCTGAACATCAATGCTATACAGTATTTGTACACGCTTAGTTTTGATGAAATATCGGTTTTAGAAACAAAATCCACTCTTCCCTTCTTCATTGTTTCTGAAACCATACTGAAGTCTTTCAACTTGTATTGACTACATGCTATAGTAATGGATTTGATGGCATATAACTCAATCTGTATTTAGAGAGCTGCATTTAGAATGAAAAGGTGGGAGATCCCAAGCATAAACTTATAAACTTAGTGCTTTGTCTTCTCCCCTCCCCATCTACCTTAGAGAGAGAACATTGCTCTGTGTTCGGCATCTTGTTTGCACAGTTGTTCAAGCTTGTCCAATACCCGTGTGTTTTTTCTCATCCCAGAAATGTGTACGTGAACGAGCCCTTCGGTCAATACTGGCTGTTCGAAAAGTCAGCCAGGAGGCTGCAGAAAAAGCTGTTGATGAAGTTTTTGATAGCTGCTTTAATGACCATGAACCTTTTGGTAGAATTCCGCATGATAAAAAAGATGCAAAATATGCCCAAAGGGATTTTCAGAACAGAGATCGATATTACTCAAATCTTTGAAAAGGGAAATGTCAGACCTCTTTGTGAATGCAGTACCATTGATTTGTAATAAAGAACTGTCACAATTATTACATAAGATGGATTTATTAAAATCAAATTTTGTTGTGTTTTATAAACTAGAGTTCGACTGAACTATTTCAGGTAACTTATTAATAGAATTGAGCAAATAATTAGGATTTGACCGGAGGTTAATCCTTTGATGTCTCTCTTAATCTCGTCAGATTTTTCTTCCTTTCTGAAAGTAATTCTATTCTGTGATATTTTCATCAGCTATTCCTTTTTGTAAAGAATACAAACTGACTGAAAATGCTACAAAGTCACTCAATTTTGCAAGATAAAATACTGACATAATTGGATACAACTTCACAAGACTTCATGGTTTAAAGGGCACATATTCAATCCAAATAATCATGACATTTACTCATTCCTTTCAAGACATACATAAAGAGCCAGTCTCATTACAATACCCCTTTTAAGAAATCAAACCTGAGTTTCACCCTATTGCTCAGTGGGTAAATGTGCCATATGGTTTAAATTCTGATGATCATTCACTTGTCTGAGGAGTTGATTTTAGCCGGGAGAGTAATGAAGGAGCTCTACACTTGGCAGCAGTGTTTGGGGAATTGAACAACTGCCTTGCATCCCCATGCCTGACCTCTATTGAATGAACACTTCTTAACAGTGCATGAACATTCGGTAAGAATGGGATAAGGCATAGCTCTCATTTCACCATCTTATTCCCAGTTTAACAGCAATTCAGATATTCACCGTTTTGACTTCATCTAGTTTGAGGAGAAGAAAATGAAAGGATTATGGTATTTGAAAATAAACAGCAAGTGTTTGAGAAAAACATACCTGATAACTGAGGGAAGCAAGTTAACTGAGTGTTTCAGTAATCTGATAACTTTGTGAAAATTTGACTAACTATCAGGCTCAGTAATTAATTTTGGCAAGGTTTGCCCTGAATTACATCATTTGTTTTACCAAGACAGAAATCAAAAGGATGTTAAAGATTATAAATGATTTGAAATGTTTGTTTAAAAAATGTTTGATAAGTCAGCATAAAGATTCTTATTTTATAGCATTTCCGTGTATAAACACACCAGATCTTAAACATTTCCAGTTTAAGTAAACAATATTGTTGGTACAGCGGTTAATGCACGATACATCAAGGCTAGTGGCAAATATTCAGCATCCATATTCTGCAGGGTCCATCATGTTTTGGCGTATAGACCAATTTCAATATTACTTTTGCTTTTACAAGAATAAAAAATAAGTACGTTTTTGTATTACAACAACAATTTGCACTTATATAGCACCCTCACGCAGGGTAGGGTCTCAGAGTGCTTAACAGTGGCGGAGCCTGACTGAGTCGGGGTGGGGGGGAGGTGACCGTAAGCATGGACAAAAAGGAAGGCTTTTTTTGGCACGACTTGAAAAAGGGGGGAGAGGAGCAAAGCGGAGGAATTTGGGAGAGTGTTCCAGAAGTTTGGAGTGTAGTGGCTGAAAGCGCGACCTCCAGTGGTGGAACGGAGAGTGTGAGGGACAAGCAGAAGGCTGGTGCCAGTCGAACAGAGGTGTGTGGTGGATTGGGAAGTGAGGAAGTCAGAGGAGTAGGGAGGTGCCAGGGAATGAAGCGATTTGAACACACGAGTGTAAGGATCTTGGTCGAACGTTTCGTTGATGGGGAGCCAGCGGAGCCTGGACAGAACTGGTGAGATTTGGTATTGGGTTTGGTCCAGGTAAATATGCGGGCAGCAGAGTTCTGTATGAGCTGGATCTTTCGAATAGTGGAGCTGGGGAGACCGGCGAGGAGGTGCTTCAGTAATCCAGGCGGGAGGTGACAAACGCATGCACAAGGGTTTCGGCTGCATTTGGAGTAAGGTACGGTCGGAGGTGGGCAATGTGGCGAAGGTGGAGGAAGACAATCCTGGTCAGGGACCGGATGTGGGGAAGAAAAGACAGCTGGGTGTCGAACCGATCTCTTAGATTGCGCACTGGTTCGGTGAGTGAGGGAGAGACCAGGGAGGTTGAGGAGTTCAGATCCATTAGGTTCAGTGATAACCTCCTCCATTTAATCGTGTTCATACCCATGTACAATAAAAGGAAAAGCAGCAATATTAAATTCTAATGTGTATTGGAAGTATAACCATTTGTGTACCCTGCGGCAAAGGTACAATTGTTTGTATTTCTATTGCAATCACTGGGCTGTCTGACATTATACATGTAAAACATTGTGATTTTGTAACTAATATTGGTTTGAAGAAATTAATCATGTCATAATTGCAGTATTTAGTAGATTCACATAAACACAATGTAAAAAGTTATTTTGTAGTTGTAGTTATTTGGGGTTTTCATTTTCTGTTGGGCTAGTTAATAAATACATTTCTAAATAAACAACAATAACAACATTTAAATTTATATATAAAGCACCTTTCACATAGGAAGTAACTGAAAATCCTTGCTCACGTTTTTAGTATCATCCATGCATTTGTACTTTCTGGTTACCAATTTATTTCCACATAATAATAATACTTGCATTTGATATAGCGCCAAGAATATACTGTAAAGTGAATTGCCTGTATATTTTGTGGGTGAAACGCAGCAGCCAATTGCATACAGCAGTATCCCTCAAACAGTTGTGGATTGAGTGACCAAATTGTTATTATTTTTTTGACAAGATTATTAACTAAAAGTGATACGCTAATCAACACACAACTGGGTTCCTACTTACTGTTAGGTGAACAGCAGTAAGTAGAGTAGGGAAGTAAGGAAATTTACCTAATGTTTCGCCCTGTTCGGAAATCAAATCCAGGTCCTCTCTCTTGTGAGGCAAATGTTCCAACCACTAAGCTACAGGACTATTAGTTTAAATAGACTGAAGCAATGAGATGTCATTATACTTGCCCAATAAATGGAAAATTACAGTGTAATTTGAGAATGTAGAGAAATTACCCCATGGCTCTAGGAATAATTGATTCTCCATATTTTTCTCTGCATGCCCAGCTGGGAAAAATACTGAATAAATGCTCTCTTTAGTAATTTTAATCTAGAGTTGGGTAAATATCAATATCTTTCCCAATCTCCCGCAGCTTAAAACTCACAGATTTTGATTTCTAACAGTAATGACACAGTTGCTGTTGCTCTCCCATTGAAACTGGTCCTTAAGTAAGGCTGTTTATTGGTAACCCTTCTGGACTTGTTACAATACCTCAGCGGCAATTATCAGTTCCACTTGCCGTTTCAGGTTTATCCAATCGAACGTAATAAGATGATGCCGCCACGTTATAAATCCTGTCTTAGACGCAAAGGATGACACAAAAGCGACATTAATTCAAATGGCACATTTCTTTGTAGCGTGAGCTCGTGTCCGAAGTTAGTTATTTCACTATTGTACCAAATTGGAAAGATTATATTAAAGCTAGTGTTAAAATCATCAAAATAACTGGAGATTGCTGATCCATTGTGGTCTTCAACCTGTTGAGCATTGAAGAGAATCAACTAATTTACATAAAATTTGATTTATTCCAAGATAGTATTTATGTAGAAAAGGACTTGGGGATAATGTACAGGAAGTCTTACAGTTGCAATATACTCCTGATTGACTAAGATTCAGTGTGTTGCAAATTTTGGAGATTATCAGAAAACCCATGCGATCTCTTCTATGGGTACTGAACCACTTTGCTCCAGTAATGATGTTACTGAAAAGCACAAGAGAGAAGGCTGGAGAGGGTTGTCTTTATGTATACAGGTGATGGTCAAGTGCAACAAAGAGACATGGATTATTCTGTTCTATTTATTGTGTTTTTGTTTGATTTTGAAAATGAATGGGTGATTTAAGATAGAAAATTAAAATTGAACCAGCAAAGGATGCTTCATTGTGACTTCTTAAAATGGGATTTTTTGTCCATAAGAATTGTTAAATATTTTAAAACATTTTTCTACAATTGAAAAATGTCTAAAAACATAAAAACAACTGCAATTTGTCAGTAACATTTCTTTCATTCTTTAAAATGATTTGTAAAAAGCAATTATCTTCCAAATTACAGAATCTTGCCTAGGTTTCTAAAACAGACTCGGATAAATTGTTTGCCTAAGTGCCTAAAATTGAATAGGAAATTCTACACTAAATTGTATTGCACTGTCAATTATGTTGGCTTTGGCGTTAATATTGAATAGTCCAACTATAATAAGGTAAAATGCCTGACAACTAAATTTTGGAATCGAGTCAATCCTCTCTGGTGGTCTCAGTAGCCTGGTTCCTGAGACAGGAAGGTCCGTAGTATTCCAGGGCACTGATGATGACAGACCAGCCAGACTGGTTCATTGGCATGACTTGAAGAGGTAGAGATTCTTCCCACTCAGTTCCCGTTATTTCTACAAGTTAAAGTCCTAACGGGTAGGGTGTTTTCAACAGCAAGCCATGCGGTTTTAGCATTAAATGGCAGCATTAACCCAGTGCACACTGGGATTCTCAAGCCTTGGCTCTTGTCAACTTGTTACTAATACTGTCTGCAATTAAGTAAGCAGAGTGGATACCTCCAAGGTGGAATTGCACATTCCTGTGACAGATTTCCATGCGTGTGGTTTGGATACTCTTAAGCATGGGGCTGGGTTTCTGCATGTGTCAGACACCCACTGTAGCTCAATGGTTAGAGCACTCGCTTTGCAAGCGAGCGACCTGGGTTCAATTCCCGGCAGGGTGAAACCTTGGGCAAGTTTCCTTACTCCACACGCCTGATAATAATGCCTCAAAAAAATAATAAATTGGTTATTTCAAATCACGACTGTTTGTGAGACACTGCTCTGCGCAATTGGCTGCTGCATTTCATCCATAAATTCACTTCAAAGTCAATTCACTTTACAATCTATTCTGTGAAGCGCTTTGAGATGTCTAGAAGACGTGAAAAGCGCTATATCGCAAGGATTATTATCATTATAACTGACTCCCAAAAAATGGGAAAATTAGTCAAATATTTTGATAAACGGAATGGAGAAAATTGATAAGACAAAAAAAAAGCAAAAGAGATCCTTCTTTGATTATTACCAGAATATTGGTTGGGTTAGATCATTTTG